AATGAAGAATTTCGTACGTTATTAACGAGCTGCTCTGGGATTTTTTTTATTGTTGCGAAGTCTTATGGATTTTGGTTTTTGAAATTGATTATGTTATTTTTGATATCCTGCTATACAAGATTACGAAGAAAAATTAATGCACGCTCTATGTCAGGATCATGTGTAACAAAATATTTTTCCATACTTGTAACAAATTTCAATCCTTCGTGAATTAAATCATTTGCTAATAAATGAACTTCATCTACGACTTTGCCAGTATCAACTTCTTTATTTATTATAAGCTGTCATAAACTCCCGTTCAACAACTCAATCATCTCATCCAAAAGGCACACATCCCCCATTTTTTTTTTTTTTTTTTAAGAATTCGTGATGGAGAAAAAATTCGTGTAAAAAAAATTCGTTACATTCGTGTGCCATGTTTTTTCAAAATCGTGTAAAAAATGACCGTGTAAAAAAAGAGCTGGGTGTATTTTAAATAAACAGAGTATAATTGATACGTATTACAGATGCACAAAAGCTTGGGATATTTTTTCTATCTGAAAAGAAAAATAATTATTCTTTTAATTCTTTTCCTTGCCCTTTTCCTCTATTGCTCTAAATTTGTGTACTTATTCTCTGTATTTTTAATGCAACTTTTAACTTCATTTTTTTCTTGTTGCACTTTTGTAGGCTTTAACTACTTTTGATATTATTTCGATATTATTATTTATGATATATAAATATTATTATTTATGATATAAAATGATATTATTTATGATATAAAATGATATTATTTATGAGCGTAAATAATATTAATTTTTTTTTCGTCAGCTAAGATTATAAATGAAGGCTTAGACAAAAGAGTTTAATTCTACAGATTAATTTATTCCAATTTACAGGTAGTCCAATTTTAGGAAATAGAAAATTTAAACTCAAATTTTAAAAAAAATTTCAGTTTAACTGGAACTATGAATTCTAAAATCTAATTACACTACACAGTTTAGTCTTTTAAAACATAACAAAATTGCTCATTTCGATTAGAAATGCTTTGAGAAATCTTTTTAAAGAAAATTAATTTACATTCAAAAACTGTAATGTAAATATTTCAAAAATTTATATAGTACCGTAAAATCCGACGTATCACGCGCACTTTGAACACAAAAAATAAGATGGAAATTTAAGGGGGTGCGCGTTATACGGCGAATATATACCTAAAAATTAAAAACTGCTTCTTCAAAGTATGGGTGGGCGTTGTACGCGGATTTTAGGGAATATACTTTTCCTAATTCTACTTTCCTGCCATTTGATCGCAGTTCGAAAAGATAAAGTTCATTACTAATAGCTCTCCTTTTTATAAGCTTTTATTTAACTTGCAATGTAAAATGTTAGGGTGGAATCTTGCTACTCAACTTTGAAGCTGATGTCTTCAATCGATTGAGCTGAAATTTTGAATACACGTTAAGGTTGGATTACAGTGCATGTTTTGAACATTTATATTCAGATATCTCAATTAGTTAAAAAGATATTAATTAAAGTAAAATGTTCGGGTGGAATCTTGCAACTCAGTTTTGAAGTTGATTTCTTCAACCGATTGAGCTGAAATTTTGTATACACGTTTAGTTTAGATGACAATGCATGTTTTGCACATTTATATTCCGATATCACAATTAGTTAAAAAGATATTAATTAAAAAACTCTTACCCATGTTAGAAGCTTACTTTACCTCTTTCCACAACTCCTCGTGGCCTAGAGGTTAAAGAAGCAGACTTCAAATGAATTACCCAGGGTCCGATTCCCGGGAGCTCACAGTTTTTAAATCTACTTTAAATCACTTTAATTTTCATTCGAAAATTATTTCTCTTGAACTAATTTAAATGTCCGCATTCTTTCCTGTTTGTTTACAAGCTTTTTTTTCACTTTCAATGTAAAATGTTCGGGTGGAATCTTGCAACTTAATTTTGAAGCAGTTGTCTTCAACCCATTGAGCTGAAATTTTGTATACGCATTTAATTTTGATGACAATGCATGTTTTGATTATTTATATTCCGGTATCGGAATTAGTTAAAAAGATATTAAATAAAAATTATTACCCATATTAGAAGCTTACCTTACCTCTTTCCACGAGTCCTCGTTGCCATAGTTGTTCTAGAGGCTGACTTCAAGTGAATTGCTCCAGGTTCGATTCTCAGGAGCTCGCAGGTTTTGAATTTACTTTAAATCACTTTAATGTTTCTTCAAAAATTATTTATCTTGATAAAATTTAAATTTCCACGGTCTTTCCTGTTTTTACAAGCTTTTATTTAACTTGCAATGTGAAATGTTCAGGTTGAAATTTTGCAACTCAATTTTGAAGCTGATGTCTTCAACCGATTGAGCTTAAACTTTGTATATAGATCCATTTTGTATGGCAATGTATGTTTTGATGATTTATATTCCGATATCGCAGTTAGTTAAAAATATATTACTTAAAAACTCTTTACCCCTGTTATCTTTTTATTCTGCCTAGAATCTTATGAGATTGAGCTTAAAGAAATTCCGATTTTTTGACGTTTTTTAAAAACCCATCTTTTTTTTCTTTCTGTCAAACTGAGACAAAAAATAATTACTTAATCCAGCGTTTCTCAAACAGTACGGCACGCCCCCTTAGGGGGCGTGATAACTCTACAAGGGGGGTGCGAGGATATTAAAAAGTCGAAAACAAAAGATTATTAAAAAAATGATTAATTTACTGAAAGTAAACAAACAAAATACATTCTGGCATAATAAAAAAAATACACATTTATACTAATATACACAGTCCAGTCACATTAATGTGACCACCACGTACTTTCCACGCCAGAGTTAAATAACCAATCACAGAAGGCAGGTGGCAGCATAGAGCAATTGAGCGTATATAAAGGGTGTGTGAGGGCTTCGGAAAACATTTCAATCGTTGGCGTAATGCAGAAACGAAGCGATTTATCCGACGTCCAAAAGGGCATGATCATTGGCTTTCGGGCCAAGGGTGGAAGCATTTCCGAAACGGCTGAGTTTGTGAACTGTTCGCGTGCCGCCATGGTAAAAGTGTACCGTGCATGACAAAATGGGACTGTTCAAAATCAGCGACGTGGCAAATGTGGTGCACCACGGGCCATAGATGAGAGAGGCGAACGACGGTTGCAGAGATGCGTTCGGGCAGATAGACGGGCTACCATTGAGCAACTGACCACTAAAATGAACCAAGGGGCTACCAAAAGTGTCTCCCAAACTACTATTCAGCGAACATTGCTGCGTCTGGGCCTCCGAAGCAGACGCCTGGTTCGTGCACCTATGCTGACTGCTGTTCATCGACGACGAAGGCTAGAATTTGCACGCCAGTACAGCAGCTGGACGTCCACTGAGTGGCGACAGGTAGCGTTTTCTGATGAATCGCGTTTTATGCTCCATCGTACAGATGGACGTTGGCGTATAAGGCGTGAAACCTCTGAAAGGAACCACCCTGCAACCATTGCCGGAATGGTCCAAGCTGGAGGCGGGAGCATTATGGTCTGGGGAATGTTTTCCTGGCATTCTCTGGGTTCACTGATCATTGTGGAAGGCACGATGGATCAATACAAGTACGCATCTGTCCTTGCGGACCATGTCCACCCCTACATGCGCATTGTTTTTCCTCAGGATGATGGCATCTTCCAGCAGGACAATGCGAGGTGCCATACAGCTGCCAGTGTACGTGCGTGGTTCGAAGAGCACCAGGATGAGTTTACCGTCCTCCCCTGGCCAGCAAACTCACCTGAATTAAACCCAATCGAGAATCTGTGGGATCATCTCGATCGAGTTGTTCGCGCCATGGATCCTCAACCGCGTAATCTAGCGCAGCTGGCCACGGCATTAGAGTCGGCATGGCTCAACATCCCAGAGAACACCTTCAGGGACCTAAGTGACTCTCTTCCTGCACGTCTCGCAGTAGTCCGCTCTGGGAAAGGTCGTTATTCTGGCCTTTGACAGATGGTTACATTAATGTGACTAGACTGTGTAATACACTTATAAATGTATCAGTACTTCACAATGTATTTTGATGGTAATTGAACAATATTAAGTTAAGAGAAAGTTCAATAATTACCAGTGACTCCATAGGCTTGTCATATATACAATTATGTACAAAAATTAACACTTATCTTGATAATGTGTACGGTTTATAATTAATCCCTTAACTACCGAGATTAAAAAGTTATACGTTTCACTCCACAATGTCACTGTTTTTACAAGCTTTTGTTTAACTTGCAATGTAAAGTGTTCGGGTGGAATCTTGCAATTCAATTTTGAAGCTGATGTCTTCAACCGATTGAGCCGAAATTTTGTATACACGTTTAGTTTAGATGACAATACATGTTTTGTACATTTATATTCTGATATCATAATTAATTAAAAATATAATAATTAAAATAATTTGTTCGGGTGGAATCTTGCAGCTGAATTTTGAAGAGCTGATGTCTTCAAATGAGAGAGCTGAAATTTTTTGTATACACGTTTAGTTTGGATGACAATGTATGTTTTGTACATATATATTCCAAGATCGCAATTAATTAAAAAGATATTAATTAAAAAAACTCTTACCCATGTTAGAAGCTTACTTTATCTCTTTCCACAAGCCCTTGTGGCCTAGAGGTTAGAGATGCTGACTACAAAGGAATTACCCAGGGTTCGATTCCCGGGGTCTCGCAGTTTTTAAATTTACTTTAAATCACTTTAATTTTCATTCGAAAATTATTTCTCTTGAACAAATTTAAATGTCCGCATTCTTTCCTGTTTGTTTACAAGCTTTTTTTTCACTTTCAATGTAAAATGTTTGGGTGGAATCTTGCTACTCAATTTTGAAGCTGATGCCTTCAACCGATTGAGCTGAAATTTTGTACACACATTTAGTTTGGATGACTATGCATGTTTTGACGATTTATATTCCGATATCGACCTAGTTACTGTAACGATATTGTTTAGGTGTTAAGGTGAACATGTTTACAATAACACGGGTGTCAACCAAAAGCGTAGCTCAGATGGTAGAGCTCTTGCTTAGCGTGCGAGAGGTTCGGGGATCGATACCCCGCCCTCCAGTTGTTACTTTTTCACATAAAATGTTTTTGAAATTCATTTAATTTGGTACATTTAATTTGGAGATATATTTTACAATAATTCCACTCTGCATAAGAACAAAGAATGTTATATTTTTACTGTTCTACAGGGAACACTAAGAGAAAGACAGATCTATAAAACTATTTACTTTGAAAATTCTAGGATATCTATTTACTCAATTCTAGTTTCTCCCGTAACACTTATAATTGACCTAGTTACTGTAGCGATCTTGTTCAGGTGTTAAGGTGAGCATGTTTACAATATAACACAGATGTCGACCAGGAGCGTAGCTCAGATGGTAGAGCGCTCGCTTAGCAGGGATTGATACCTTGCACCTCCAATTATAATTTTTTCGTTTCGTGTAAAATATTTTATTTGTACTACGAGATATTTTATAATACTTCTACTCTGTACACATACAAAAAGTATGTTATATTTTACAAGCTTTTATTTAACTTGCAATGTAAATTCGATGTCTTCAACCGATTGAGCTGAAATTTTGTATACACGTTTAGTTTGGTTGACAATGCATGTTTTGACCATTTATATTTCGATGTCGCATTTAGTTAAAAAGGCTAGCTGCATGGCCCGGCGTTACACGGGCTTCCTCTACTTTTATGAATTTTCGCTTTTCTTCACAAATTCATCCCTTCTCTCTAATAATCTTTCTCAAAATGAATTCCACCCTCCCCTTCCTCTTCTTAGGCCGATATTCCTCGGGCTTCTACCTAGTGTATAACTTAAAATTTCCTGTTTCGAAAATTTTCCGCTTCTTTTCTTTGTCAGACAAGTTTATTCCCCCGGCGTTGTACGAACATTTTTAAATACGTAACATATTGTCATGGAAATTCCCCTTCCCCTGTCGCTATCAGAGCTCTCGAGAAAGTGAACATTCAACGATTCTTAAACAGCTTGACAGGTGCAGCACTCTAGTGGTACAATAAATTATTGCACAAAAAAAATTCGTAAAAAAAGTTTTCGACATTTTATTTTTTAAATCACTAACTGTTAAAAGTAAAGTATGAGTTTTTTAAAAATCAATTTCATATAAACGCATCGATAGTGATTCATTTTAGAAAAAGTCATATGGAACGTATCGTTGTTTTGAAAAAAGAAAAGAAAAACATACTATATCGTTACGAAATAAATCTTCTTTCCAACTGCAAAATTGCTGCCGAAGTTATTTAATGCGCGAATAAAATTTTGAGTATCTTTTTTTAAAACAATCATAAAAACAATGCGATGGTGTTGTTTATAACCAATGGACAAAAAATAATAATCCAGCGTTCTAAGCGTTCAATCCACGAAATCTTCGGAAAAAAGGAAAGAAAAGACATGTAACATAAAAGGAAGAGATATTCAATTTCGCATAGCGTTATTTGTTAAAATTTAAATTTTGAGGACTTCATTTTTAATTTAATACCTTCGAACTTCATATATCGATTGCAAACAACGGTAATTTTTAAATAAAAAATGTAACAAAAATAATGCTTTAATATTTCTCGCAAAAAGGGGATAAAAAACGAAAAACACAATTTTTTTAAACAGTAATTTTTAAGCAATATTTTCAAACTTTGTGCATATTACGGATAATATCGTTCTACACACGGAAAAAAAATGTCGTGAGATTATTTTTATAATTAAAGAAATTAATAAGTATTTAAATAAAATTTTGAGTATTTTTTAAAAACCGTAAAAAAAATTGTCATTTTATTTTTTAAATGACTGATTCTGAAAGAGAAAAGCATGAATTTTCTTAGTGTAGAATATCATTTCATTAAATTGAAAGAAAATTCAATCGGAGTGATTTAGATATCATTTCATAAAAACGTATCAATTTTGACTCATTTTAGAAAAAAGCGTAAAAAAAAGAAAATATCATTATTTTGTAAAATAAATTATACCGAAATGATCTTTCCGATTCGGTAATTTTTTTTGTTTGAGTCTCATATAAAATTAGATCGCGTCTTAAAAACGTCTGGTATAAAAAAAAGTTCGGGAAATCGGAACTTCGGTACCTGGCGGGAAAAAAAGGCATTAATTATGTGTTTTAAGGTTTTTAATTAATATATTTTTAACTAATCGCACTATTGAAATATAAGTGGTCAAAACGGATTCCTCGGATCAGTTCCGATCTTTTGGTACTTTTTGCGATTTTCTGCATCGTGCGGTTCGTGAGAAGATATACCTAGTCGTATAGTTGCATACGTTTGCTTACCTTCGAGTTTTAATAGTGCAGATATTAATTAAAGTAATTTTTTCGGGTGGAATGTTGCAACTCAATTTTGAAGCTGTCGTCTTCAACCGATTGAGCTGAAATTTTGTATACATGTTTAGTTTAGATGACAATGCACGTTTTGATGATTTATATTCTGATATCTCAAGTAGTTGAAAAGATATTAATTGAAAAACTTTTACTCCTGTTAGCTTTTTATTCTGCCCAGCAGCTTATCGGATAGAGCTTAAAGAGAAGTCCCGATTCTCTCTCTCTTCGACCTTTCTTAAAAAACCATTTTATTCTTTCTCTGAAACTGGGACAAAAAAATAATAGCCTAATGGGAAATATCATTTATTTCGCTACTATACGGTATAATTTGTTAAAAAAATAATGATATTTCTATTTTTTACAATTTTTTCGAAGATGAGTCAAAATCGATGCGTTTTCATGAAAATGATTTCTAAATCGTTCCGTATGATTTTTTTCGTGCTAATGAATCGATATTCTGCACTAAGAAAGTTCAGGTTTTTTCTTTTAGAATCAGTCATTTAAAAAATAAAATGCAAAAAACTTTTTTTTTTACGATTTGTCAAAAAATACTCAAATTTTGAATAAGAAATTAAAAAACTTCGTCATTTTTAAATATAGTCGCACGAAAATATTTTCTCGTTTGTAGAATAGTATTATTCGAATTTTGCACAAAAATTGAAAAAATTGTTATAAAATTACGGATTTACAAAAAAAATGTGTTTTTTGTTTTTAATATAGTGTTATAATAAAAGCAAAAAAAAAAGAGAAGAGATAATGAGTTTTAATATTTTAATTAATCTTTCTTCGTCCAATGTTGTTTTGATCTAACAGTGTTTATCCCCCTCCTCCCATTGTCCTCTTGTTGCGGCTCGAGTGACATATCTATCATATGTACACTGGTGTGCAAAAATTAAGGACGAGACGGTTTTTTCAATATAACTTTGTACAAAAGCTTTCCAAATCAACACATTTAATACCGTAAGATCCCCAATACGTAAGGACATGTGTAATATGTAAGCAACACTTACCAAAAGAGAAATCAGAGGGATAAAAAGAAGCTTTATTGAAAAAGTAGCATGGTGCGCAATGCGACTGAAGGCCGAAACATCCCTGTGATGGGTGTCCAGCAAGAAACATCCGGTCTTTAGTAGGGGATATGATCTCCCCTGACTGCTAGGCAGGTTTCACAGCGTCTGCCCATGCTGAGAATGAGGGTGTCGATGAGTTGTTGAGGCATTGCTGCCCATTCGTCTTGCAGCGCCAATCGAAGCTCCTGAATCGTTACTGGTGGTAAGGTACGAGCTGCCAAGCGTCTGCCTAGAAAATCTCATACATGCTCGATGGGATTGAGATCCGGAGATCGTGCCGGCCAATCCATATGTTCAATATCCTCACTCTCTAAGAGCTGTTCGGCAGCTACTGTGCGATGACATGGTGCATTGTCGTCCATGAAAAGGAACTGCAGACCCATACCGCCTCTAAAAAGACGCACATATGGAAGAAGAATCTCGTTACAATAACGGGTCCCGTTGACTGAACCTGCGTCGAAGATGTGAAGGTCTGTACGACTACCAAGCATGATGCCTCCCCAAACCAGAACACTGCGACCTCCATACTTGTCCCTTTCAATGATGTTCGAGGGATGATTGCGGCTTCCCCGCTCTTTCCAGATGAGTATGCGATGAGAATCGCTACTCAAACTGAATCTGCTCTCATCTGTAAAGAGTACTCGTCCCCATTCATTGTCACTCCAATTCCGGTGTTCCCGGCACCACAGAGAACGCCTTCTCCGATGGGCAGGCGTTAAAGGTACACACTGTACAGGGCGTCATGCAAACAGACCACCACCGTGCAGTCTTCTGGCCACGGTAAAACGCGATATCGGTCGGCCAGTCGCCTGTGTCGTGTGTCTAGCGATTTCTCCCTCTGTCTGCCGCTGTTTCTTCTGGCCTCTAAGACAGTGCTTCTCAAACTGTGGGGCGCGCCTCCCTGGGGGGCGCGATGACCTTACGAGGGGGGCGCGAGCATATCGAAAATAAAAGATTTAAAAAATAATTAGTTTACTGGAATGAATTAAAACAAAATACTTTCAGACATAATAAAAAATGCACTTTTACTCTGATATAAGTTATAGGCGATATTAAGCCATCAAAAATAAAAACTTCTTTAATACCAAATTAGCTATCTTTGATCCTATAACCAAGTAAAAAAAACTTTTATTTGATTTGCTGTCATCCGTGATGAGAGATTTTTTATTACACTTTTTTTTAACCTAACATACTACTCTTTCAGAGAAAAAACAGATCCCGGACCCAGAATCGAAAAACTTTAGGAATATAAAAAAATTCATCACTGTCATTATTTTTGAAATACTGCACATTATAGCTGTAATCTCTTTGACCTTCTAAGTTATTGGTACAGTTAGTTATGACCCCTCTCTTATGTGTTCTCTGTTGCGCTTTTTTTCATGCAAAAGAGTTTTATGATATTTGGAAAACCACGGAGAGCACACACATACACACACACACACACACACACAAGCACATGAAGGATTACTTGGTCAAGACATATTTTTATAAATATTCTCAATGTATAAAACATAACGAAAAACGTTTCACACAATGTTTTTAGCAGTAACATACATATTATCATAATGAATATACTTTTTACCCGGAAGTGGTCGCGCGGGACACACAGATTATGTGATTTTGTGTGTCCACAGTAGTCTAGTGG